GTCGGGCCGGGGCCGCCGCGCGCACTTCCCCTCACGGCAGCGCCCGACCCGGACGTGCTCGGCCTCGGGGCGGAGCGAGGGCGGTGCCCGCTCCTTCAGAACAAATCGCGCACCTATTCGTTGGAATTTATGCGTGTACATCTATATAACACTAAAATGTGAGGCTGAGTGTTTGTGTGTACGCGCACCCGCCGGTAAATCGAGTATATTTACCTGGGTGTTCTCTGGCCTTCGGAGGACAACTCCCTCAGGCGGCGCCTCTCCTCACGATATCTCAAAATCGTCAAAACATTTCCAAATAAAAGCGTTAAAACGGGCGGATTTTCCGCAACTTTGTGAGAAACCAATATGTAAATCCAAATAGATATTACCTGGGTAGCTCAGTTACAATACTGATATAATAAGGTCAATGCATTTTTGCAATTTTTCAGCCACAGCGGGGCCAACTATTTTCAAGTCAGGCGAGTGTTTTTAAATACTGAACAAATACTGAACCTGATAGCATTGGAATTCAGCCACACGGAAGTGCAAAGTAAAGAAGGAATTGCACACCTGGGCTCCCGAATTGTGTGTTTCCAATTATGATGGCAGATGCATCATATTAAATAATGTTTTAATGGAAATATTAGTGGCTAACACAAGAACATTGAGATTTAATATATCCATCTACATCTAGTCTTTTTGATAAAATTAGTATCCATTACATGTTTTGGAGTTTTTTTGACAGGTATAAAATATTGGTACTTGATAATGACAGTTGCTTTTCATAAAATGCTTAGAATGAAGTATTTCCCCTATTCAGTAGAATGTTAATTGTGTACTGAAAATTGAAAGAAAAAGCTACAGAATAGATACAGAAATTAGAGTCCCCTGGTACTATAATGGTAGTTTTGAAGTTGTTAGGAAAGTAGGGGAGGAACTCTATCTTATTTAAAATACATCCTCTTCGTGTTACATCCCGGTTAAAACAATTCTTTGCATTTTGAAATCTGTGCACACTAAACCTCAAGTTTTTAACAGAAAGCTTAAGGAAGGGAAAAATCATTATAGAAGCAAGGACTTGAGTGCAGAAGTCAGTTCCAAAAATAACAGAGAACACTTGTGCTGAAGTTCTCAGGAAGGATGAAGCATGAGAATCAGCCTGAAGATGAGGAAAGCTTTCAGGAATATGTCAACAAATCTTTCCCTGTTTCCTGGAGGTGACTGGGTGTTCTCACATCCTTTTTATTAATGTGATTTGTAATATAAACTGTATACTGACTTCTATACATAGGAATGAAATAGAAAAAAAAAAACCAATTGATTTTCATGTATCTGGCATTCAAAATCCTTTCTCTGATAATTTACTTTTTTCTATATCTCCTTTATTTTTTTCTCTTAGAGAATCCCTTCTGCTCTTGCTAATGCACTGAAAGTGACAATGTTTAAACAGATCAACATCCTTACTTTTTGTGAGCAGAGTTATATCTTGCCAAATGAGCTCTGAATGATCTGCTCAATAGCCTGTGAATGCGAATACCCACTGATGTAGTTTAAAATAAAAAAAGTTGACATGAATCTGTTTTGCATCACAGATAATTTTTCTGAAAATGTGAAACCTGTTTCTAATGTGCCTGAAAAGATGGAGAGCAAAATCCCAAGTCTGCCATGAGCGCAAGGATGAATGCCATTGCAGAACCTGGGTATGATTTATATCTTAATTCTTTAATGTTTTGGATTTCCTGCCTGTGTAGATGTTCTGAATAGGTGAAACAGGAGACCCAACCTTGTTTTGGGTAAATGCTTAAAATTATTAGAAGCTTATTCCCTGGCCTTTTAAGATTTTTTTTTTAATTGACCAGTATATTTTGTATACATTTAAAATAATAAACTGTAAGTAGCCTAACTCTTCTGTCTGTTTATGTACTCATGAACTCAGATTCTATGGATGTTTTCTTTGCCTCTATTAGAAGCACTGCTGCAATACATAGCTATAGGTTGACTATTATTTACTCCTAACCACAGCATTAATTATCAAAGACTTTATTAAGGTTTACTTTGTGATCTCATCAGTGTACTTACTTATAATTTTGGTCCTCTATGTTAATGTTTCATTAACATTTTTTACCGTTTGGATAGAAATACCTAACTTGTCTTGGGCACACTAAGAACTTTTGGTCCAGGGAAAAAGACAATAAATCTTTATATGAGGGAGAAAAATAATCATTTTAGTTTCTTTCCCCCTCAAGATGGAAACTATCATTCTACTGGATCTAATTACTAGTTGTAATGTAGGAAGAATATTATCTGTAATTTATTTCATTCCAGGAAGAAATTTGTCTGTTTAAAGCTTGGCCTTTGTGCCAATGATTCTCTGTCATGTCTTCCTATTAATAATGCAAAACACTTTATTTTTTATCATCTTACATTGTGGATGAAAAACATTAATCAGATTACTTTAACACTCCAGTGTAATAGTACAATGTGTTTCTAGCTATTAATTTATTTAAGAAATGTCTGTTCTGTGTTTCTGCCTAGCACTTGATGTGTTTATATGCACATTCTTCTTGGAAGGCCAGGGACATTTTGTTCTGTGGTTTGAGAAGTAATGTGGATGGATGCCATACTTGAAGCCTGTTTTCATATCTCCTATCAACACGTAAGTTTACAATTAACTTGATCCATGCAAGTAGAGCCATTGATTCTTGACTAAGCACAAGCCTGGCTATCTTCTTGAATTAAGGCCTCAGATTGGAAGAGAACCAGTAAATGTTGTTGTTACATTTACAGAAGCAAAAGTTATTTTAAGATGCAAGAAGGTACTCTAAGGAATGGTTCACTAGATCATTTGGAACCTATTTCCACATATTGCTCTGAGGAGATGTTCTTGCTCAACTTCTTAAGCCATATGGCAAGTGGATAATGATTATGTGTGAGCAGCAGTAAGTATTTATTTAAAAGTAATTTAACTGCGTACCTGTTAAATGCAACTTCCCAGATGCAGGTAACAGCACTTAGAAAAGAAAATGTACAGCTCTAAGTCTCAGGGATTCCTTCCCCCTTTTCACATCTTCTAAAATTGGTATTCCTGGATAAGTCACGATGGTTATTCTGAGAGATCCTGGATTTAGTATTCTCCGTCTGCGTTGTTGATGGAATTTAGGCACAGCAGTAGCAAGCTACTGCACTAGAAATGCAGTATTGTGAACTGCCTGGAAATTTGGGGGTTTGCACTTAAAAGAACAATATCTACCATCCTCAGAGTGAGTAAGACGGAATAGTGTGAGGAATTAAATCATTGTCTCTCCATAGGATGCATATGTATGTGTGCCTGGAGTTCTGAGGTAGTTTTATTAACCAAAGCAGTCAGTGCTGTTAATGCCTTTAGTCCTTGCTGCTGGAATTGCTATCCATGCTGCAGTGTGTTTATAAATAAAGCCATTTCTATCTTCAAGCTCAGCCTGCGATGTAAAACCAAGCTGTTTTTTCCGGCTTGCACATTACCACTAAGAGAGCTCCTGCTGGAACTCAGTCAGGAATTCTGTTGATTTTGAAGCCAGTGAAGAAACTCTCAGGACTATGTTGCCTCTGCAAATATGACTGAAAGTTTATTTATATCAGTCAATATATATCAGTTTATTTATATCATGCATACAGGTCAGACCATTCAAACGAAGGAATATACAACTTCCACAAGTGACTCCTTCAGGTTGTTCTCTCACTGGACTCTCATTTGCACTTGAGCAGATTATTTTTTTTTGTTCTTGCCCAAGCTGGGTTCAAAGCAGTCATTGCTCTGAAAGGGATGAAAGCAGATTTAACAGAAACATAACTTCTGATGGAGACAAATGAAGCATTTGACACTTATGGCCTAAAAATTCTGAGAAAATAATAAAACTGGAAAATGAGGAATTATGGGTGCTAGTAAAAATTCTGTAGCTGCAGATAGCTAAATGGAAGACTGAAACCATGCTGAGTCACAAGAGACTATTTGAGAACTTGAGTTTGTGGGTAATGAAGTAGTAATTCAAGAGATGAAAGGAGCTGTGTTAAAATGCCTTGTCAGAGTCAGTAATAGTGTCAAGGACTGAGTGGACAAAGGACATCAATACCTGGAAAGGTATTGGAAAATCCTAACTACTCCCATTATGTGGAGAACAAGCTTAAACTCCAATGTTAAAGAAGTTTTTCAGAAACTTTTTTTTTTACTGTGTTGATTTTTGGAGCTAAGAATGTCTTAAGCGTAGCATAGTTTCTAATGCAAGCTGAAACCCAATGTGGCATGAAGGTGCTCAGCTTCTTATTTTCTGTGCTATGTTTCCATCAACTCATCTTTGTCCACTTCTCCTACAAGCCTTGCATCAGTCCCTTTCTTTCCCTTTCCCTTTCAAATTATCCAGTCTCTGCTTTGTCTGATCTGTTTCTGCCTTACTGCTCTTATTAGCCATTGTCAAAAGGAATTTTATTTAGTATCATTGTTTACTCCTTTCTCTTAAAACATCCCTAATATATCCCCTCAAAACTTACTATCCTATAATTTTACATGCAATATGCTGCATTTTTTTTTACATTACCCACCTTCTTTTTTCTCATCTCTGCTTCAGTTGTGAAAGGATTTTTGGGCAGGATTTGGCTTTCTTACATTTAATAATTTTCCACCATTAAAGAACTCTTAGTTAGGATCTGTGGATTATAATTATAATTAGTAATTATAATACTCATAGTATTATAGTATAAATAGTCAGAAGTAGCTAAAGGGCTGAAGTAAAGTCTGTGTCCGTTTAGAGCTGAGAGCTCTGAATCACAAGCACATGATTCCTCTGCAGGTACCTGAATGCACTGCAGTAAATGTTTTGGGTTTCTTTTCTCTCTTCAAGCTTCATTTGTACATTCTCTCATGGGATACAAGCAAATTCTGTGGACTTGGTTGGGAATTACTCCTCCTCTGCATGTGGAGAGCAGAGCCCATGACTGGACCAAAGCCAGCATTCTTTAAAAGTTCACATGCCTTCTATTTGCTCTCTGATTTAGACTCCTTCTGACCAAACAAAGGAAGGGGGAGAGAAATGAAAAATAGTAGCATTTGTGTCAGTAAAAAATTCTAAGGGTTAACATAACATGGTGTAAACTGTTTCATCTGTTGCTCCTACTTGCCCATTTTAATCAGCAGTTACTAAGTAGAGCTTATATGCACTGAACTTGAAGAAAGCTAATGGGATATCTGCATAATGTTGTACCCAGAGTACTTATGCCAGAATAGGAAAGCCTTTAATTCTGTAATTCTCTTGAGTCAAGAAAAGCTTTCTGAAGAGTTACTTTAAATTTAAACTCTCATTCTAATGTTAGGCAGCCTGTTGGACCTCCGAGTTAAAAATTGCTTCAGCTTTAGTTACTAGAGCCAGATGTAACATTGACCTTAAATGGTAAAAGCTCCCAAGAGTGAAAGAGAGGCTGGCCCGAGGGGAAAAAGAGGAATAACTGAAGTTTTAGGTAAGTAATCTCTATAACCAGGAATAAGCTCTTTTTCAGCCGTGAAACAGAACGGAACCGTATTTCCTCCTTAAAGGTACAGTACCTTGTTGTTGTGATTCTGGGGAGCTGGGTTTTTTCCTCTTCTCCCCCACCCTCTTCAAATTGTACCTCTTTGTCACATTTTAGCTTCTTAAAAACTGGGTGTAGTCTATGAAACCTCGTTCATCTTGMAAACTGTTTTGGACTATATGAGAATGAAAAAGAAAAGGTGTGTTAATTATACCGAGACTTGATTAATAAAGGTATGTAGTCAGTAATTCAAGGCAACCTGATTTACAGGAACTGTCATCTGTATTGTGCTAACTGAGAGTCTTAGTTTGGTGAAATACATGTTATGGAGAAACAGATATGCCTCAGATTTCTTTCTTTTTTTCTTTTTTTTTTTTTTTTTTTTTTTTTTTTTTTTTTTTTTTTTTTTTTTTTTTTTTTTTTTTTTTTTTCCCTAATTGTATGACTTTCCTTCCCTCATGCTTTTAACAGTGCCGTAATGGTTCATGTTGGTGGATTGCTTACTTGTCTGGAATTATCTTTTAAAATAGCATTTGCAAAGCCATTTCTTTATGCAATCTGTGTTTTAGTTTAATCTTGTCAGATGTAAATTAAGACCACAAAGTTGTGTTTGATTGGAATTCTGTGCAGAGAAAAACATCTTCAAATGTTAAAACATATTTGCTGCTGCAGTATAGAAAAATCTCACTGTTTGCCTTTCCTGATATTTCAGTTTTCAGTTTCATCTGTGCTATTTGGTAGGTACCCTGCACTAAAGTGTATTTCATTTTCCTGACAAATTTAAACACAGTTTTGTCTTACTAATGGGTATGTTAAGACATTAGGGTGTAAACAGACAGCAGGGTGTAAACAACATGAAGGAATGAAGTCAGTGCAAAGAAGTGATAGCTGAAATCGAAGACTTGTTTCTGATACTAACTCACAGTTGTAATGACTTGTGTTAGTGAGTTGATTCTTCAAATCTGCATAGCATGGCTTTCACCTGGTGGAAAAATCCTCTGCAATCAGTAGTGAATTTCCATGTCTGCTGGGGGATTAGAGAGTAGTTTTTAGTTTCTGCCATACAGAGACTGGGTGAATTTAGAGTTCTGAGTGGAGACAGTGTTCTTGTGAGTGCTGACAGTTACTGTATTTGTACTTCATATGGTAGGTGTTGCATACACTTTAGTGAAAGTTTACTTCATCACGCTCAAGAGACTCTGATAAACGCTTGTTAAAGCATTTCAGATCTTGTTGCAAAATTTCTAATAGTTTTCCTTTTATTTTTCTCTGGACTATCATAAGTGAACAACTCAGAACTTTTAGGTTGAACTTCTAGCTGACCTTCATGTTTTAAATCAACATTTATATGCCAAATCAACCATCATACCACACTTGGAGCTTCATAGAAACTCATAGAAATCTAAGTATATTAAAACAGTGGAAATTAAGAATTAGTTCAGTGTATTAAATGCTGAATACTGAGGTTCCTCACTCATAAAGTGTTCTGGTGTTTACTGGCCTCCAAAGACCCTCATTCTAATTTGTTTTTCCTGCATGTATTAGTCAATAATTGTGGTGTTTTATGCAACGCTTCAACTTGTGCAAGGATGTATAACTTTAGATGGTATTCTAGAAAGTGTTTCCGTTTCCAAAACTTATTTTTAACAATGCATGTAGGCTGAAATAACTAATCTGCGCCAAACTCCTTCAAGTCTGAACCAACAGCACGTCCGATATAGCACGTCAACAATTATTGTTGTTATGTCATACAATTTATTTTGTAACTTAGAATATATAATATAGTGCATACATGTAAGTTTATCTTCAGTAGAGGTATTATAATGACAAAAGAGTAATTTAATACAAAAGTATAAGTTGGTATTTGTGCATAGTGAAAATTCTGTGTTAACATCAGCTCTGGTAAGTGTCTAGGATTATCATTGTATTTAACTTACAGAAATCATCTGTTTCACATTCTTCTGGATTAAGTTCTAAATTGTCTGTGGACAGGAAACCTGTACGCCTCCCTACCTCCTATCTTTTTATATGTCACAGTCAGTTTTAATAACTATAGTCCTATTTATGTGGGACCAAAACATGGGAAATTAAGGATTATCTAGCAGCCAGATTCATAACTCCAGTGTTTAGGCCCAGCCTCTTCCATCCTGCTTTCAATCAGTCTGCTTCCTGACAACTTTTAAGGATTGTATGGTGTCAAAATACTTTTTGAAAAGCTGGATAAAGACAGAGTGTGGACAATGGAGGTATAGGGAGTCGGTCCTAGGAGAGACAGATGTGAAAGCTTCTCCTTTCAAGGGTCGTATGTGTCTATCTCACTTGGGATCGTCTTGCCTCATCTATTTGCTGTTCTTAGATAAGTGTGTAAGTCCAGGAAAAAGATGCATCAAATGGCTTGTGGGTGAAAAGGGAAAGAAAATGCTTGCTGCTTCAAGGTTTGTGGGCTGTTGAAAGATCTGGGGGATTTGTGGGCAGAGAGAGATCTCTTTGCTGTCCTARCATGCAGCCTTCCTGTAAACTAAGCAGAAGAATTTCCTTGTGATGTGCTCTCTGCCTGTGCTTCCTTTGAAAAGTGGGTCAAAGAGATGTTTTGGATCTCAGTATCACTGACAGAAGGGAAATCTGAGTGGGTGATGGATCTCTGTAAGTTTATAAACTAGGGACACAGGAGAGGAATTACTGCTTATGTACATGTGGAGTGCTGTTGTGGAGAGCTGAGACTGTGACTGTTATGGTGTTATGGTATTGATTTGAAATAATAGCTGTTTCCCGTCCTGGAAAGTAGGTCCTAAGGATTCTAAGAAGAAGAGAGGGATTCGTTATTTAGAGCAAGTAGACATGTAACCTCAGGTTTTGATGGAGAGCTTGGGCTCTAACAGCCCTAGGTTTAATCCTCTAACAAATCCCTAGATTTAATCCACTAATCTAAGTAGGTAGAGATAATGGTTTTTTTGCTTTATGTTTCTGTTCCTTTAGGTTAATTTCAGTGTGTCTATCATTATTTAAGATTATTAATTCTCAAGAATTAATTTGAGAAATTAAATTTACTTAGGAATGGCCCAATTTGTTAAATATCTAAAAGATTGAAACAACAAAACCAACAMAGAAGACTACACCCCCCCACCCCCCATTTCACAGCTGAAATCAAGAAGGCCTTACCTGTTAGGACTTTCACCTGTCTTTAAAATGAGCAAGACACTAAGTCTTTAGATACCACAAGTAGTCAGGGACCTGTAGTATTGTAGACATTTGTAGAGATCTGTGGGTTTGGACAAGTAAGGCCTGTAAAATATGATGTTTCTTTATGTTAAAACGGATGGCTTGGAGGGAGGAGGATGAGAGAAGCAGGGAGGGAAATGTGCAAATCTGCCAGCTAATGCATGTCAAGTCTTTACGTAAACCTGAAAGCTTTTTTCCCCAGCTAAAGCATGTTCTGTGTGTTGTCATGATGCACATTCATATTTAAGAATCACTTGTGTCCCCTAATTTACATGTAGATACACCTGGTGGTTGTTCAAAGAGAGCTGTGATCTCCTGGCTGTAAAATACAGTCAATGAGCTTTCTGCAAAGAGCAAAGGGGTTGAAAAGTTGAGATAACAAACAGTGGTGGTGGGGAAAGCCTTTTTCGTAGGAGTTACACACTGTGTTCTTACCCATTGTAATGATTTGCATCCTGGAAATGAATGCCTGATAGAAGTACTGGGCTGCTGGGGCAAGTACAGCAATTGCTTTGGGGTAGGGACTTGTCTTCTGAATAAACTTATTGCTGTTTATATAATTCTGCAGAATGTTTTGTAAAGCTGAAGTTATGCATTATGAAGTTGGCTGTGAGCCTTTCTGGAGAGGTATTAGGAAAAAAAAAATGGAAAGTCAGAACAAGAAATTTTCCTACTGATCAGCACAKAGATTTGAAGCTTATTCCTATTTGCAAGATAGCTCTGTAAGGAAATCAGAGTAAAGTTCTAATTGTGTCTGAGACAGCCTGAGCTCAGTCCACTCCAAATCTGGGGGTTGTTAAGGTGGCATAAATTCATCTTTCTACCCTCTGTTCTCCCTTGGCTGTACTTTCTGTGCTGCGTCTCTAGGGCAACACAGCTCAGGATTTGTCCCTTTCTATTCTTAGACAAGCCTCCTGATTTATTTCTTTTTCTTTAAAGTTTTTTTTTCTTTTTAAATCTGAAAAATTAACTGAAACTTGATGTCCTTAATAGCGCTTTCTTGTTTCAAGATAACTTGCGTTACTTTTTTAAGTTTAGTATGTACTAAAAACGCAGCTAAGACTGGGAATAAACCACTTTGGTGCAATAGCTTGTCCAATTCCATGCAAACATGCTTTTGCCATGACTCAAAACATTCCTGATTTTTCAGATCTAGCATTCTGTTGGGTGGAATGTATCAGAACCATAATAAATTCATAAAGCAAACATTACGAGGGATTGGATAAACTTCCAGATTTATATATTTTCTCTCTCTTTTTTTTTTGTTTTGTTGTTGTTTTTTTGGGGTTTTTTTTGTGTTTTGTTTTTTTTTTTAATTTGATTTTGAGTTCTTGCAAACTCAAAAATTGCATAGAATGCCAGGATTTTGTTACAGAGGTGAAAAGCAAGTCTGTGTCACTCTTTTTAGTTACTCTGCTTCCATCTCATCTTCATGTGTTGCTAATAGTTGTTCTTTGATACAAAAATACTTAATTGTCAAAACACACAGATGTTCAGTGCTACTGCTATCTGCCTAATCTCTGTGAGTATATTAAAATATATGTAATCATAAATGCCTGCTTTCCATCGTATTAGGAACCTTAAATATATTTTGCCTTAATAACCATTTTTAAAGCTTTTAATTCTGTTGTGGGTTAAAATTCTTCTCCTTTTGTTCCCTTTCTTTGGGAATTTTTTTCTTTCCCATTTGTTGCTGGGATACACTAATCTCCAGGTCATCCTWTTAATGGCTGGGTGATTAACAAAGACAATGATACCTATGCCCCACCTCAACGGTCGGAGAGAGTGTTTTTTGTGTGGTGGGGGGGGATTTGCAGTTGTTTCGCTGCTTTGCTGGGAGAAGGAGTCTGCTCGCTGGCTGCTACAGAGAAGGTTGGCCTGCCCTTTTCTCTGCGGAGACCAGCACTCCTGCTCATTGGGTTCCTTCTTGCTGCACCGTGGTTTTCTCTCCTGTGCCTTGCCGGGGATTCCAGCTTCAGGGGGTGAGCTCTGCTCCGTCCCGTCTCGCAGCCGCAGGATTTCTGCTCGTCTCTTTGCCGTCCTGAGTTTCTTGCTGTCCAGAGGAGCACCAAGATCGGCGTTTCCCTGCCTTCATTAGCAAACACCTGTCTTTCAAACCAAGACAGATTCATAGAAAGTTTCCTCTACTCTTATTTAAACTGAGAAGTGGGTAAAATCATGATACAAACATGAACTTTCACTTCCTTCAGTAGAGCTGGAAACTCACCTGTAACAGGTTCAACGTATCTAGAAAAGCTCAAAACATGCTGTCCCTGCAACATACACTGCTCAAAAAATCTTTATGCCCACTGTTCAAAGAGTCTGTGTCTTGATCTTCATAATGATGTCACATATGCTGCATCATTTGCAGAGAAATTATCAAAGAACTGCAATGAAATAATTAGTTTTCCTGAACACCCTTATACTTGTGTAGGATCATTTTTAGTCTATTAGTTCTACATTCAATTTCACATGAGATGGCCTTTTATTCCTCTTTTAGTGAAAGAGTAAATTAGATTTTCAATGTAATGTGAAATAAACCTAATAAAAGCATGAGCCTTGGCTGCTTCTGTAGTCCAAAGTTTTCACACATTCTATAGGTTTTATAACACAGATTTTTTTTTCTGTGAGCTGAGGTGAGGCACTTGTCACTACTGAGACTGCTTCAGTATTTCTTGTGAATGGTTTTGACATTTTTCTTTTTTTTTTTTTTTTTTAAAGCAACAGATGTATTTTGACAAATGTAATTGGCAACTTCAATAAACCGACATGTTCCTGAATACATGTCTTTGCCCACCCCTGAAATGGAAGGGAAAACTGTAGAAGGTTAATTTACAATGCAGTAGTCAGCAGTCTCTAGTGCAGACACCAGTCTGTGCRCCAGGTGGTCTGAGATAACCATGCTTTGTGTGACCTGCAGGCACGACCAGGGCATGCAGTGATGTATTGATGAGCACACTGATGTGTTAATGAGCACACTGATGTATTGATGAGGACAGTTCCCTGATTCCTGGGCAGGTATCACAGTAAGTATTTCAATCCATCTGCTGCCACTCTAAAGACCGATTTGTGCTTTGCACTGCTCATCCTCAGACTTTGGTACAGGCTTTCATGCTGATGCTATCCTTGTGAATGCAGTGCCTCCCCTTGATACTAATAACAAGAATTTTCTCAGCTGATAGGTAGTGATTTTTTTCCCCTCTTTGGGCATTTCTGCTATTTTGCTTCGGAAGTGACTTGTACCCTGTTGTCTTGTGCAGGGGTGCACCAAATCTTTGTAAAATTCACCTAGGCCTGGCTCTTGCTTCAAGGACCCGTGCTACCCTCTGGGGTTCCAATTTTGGTCCTCTGAGATCTGAGATCATGCTCTGTGACATTAAGACTATTAGTTACCAAAAGGTATATTGTGGAACAGATGACGGAGAAGGGACTTCATCAGTTCCTGTCAGTGTCTGCAGCGAGGTGTCAGAGGATGAATCCAGGCTCTGTTGATGAGCAGCAGGAGCTGCTGAGTGCTGAGCAGCAGGACAAGAGGCAGTGGGCAGAAACAGTTGCACGGGAAATTCCACCTGGACATGAGGAAGAACTTCTTCCCTATGCAGTGACCGAGCACTGGAACAGGCTGCCCAGAGGGGGTGAGGAGTGTCCCTCACTGGAGATTCTCAAGAACTTCCTGGATGCAATCCTGTTCCATATGCTCTAGGATGACCGTGCTTGAGCAGGGAGGTTGGACCAGATGACCCACAGTGGCCCCTTCCAACCTGAACCATTCTGTTGTTCTGTGATATCCAGGATGCTGCTTACTTCTTAAAGGATATTTAGAGAAGGTAGTTTGCTCACATCATAGTGACAAAATGAAAATCTGTAAAGTGGAGGAAAGAGATGGAAATAGCAACAAGAAAGGATGGTTTTCTCTTTTGAATGTATTTGCTAAGTTATACTTGACCTTGAAAGCTTTAGTTAATAAAACACAAGAAAGCATTTTTAATTTTAAACCTTAATACTGTTTATTATTGTAAAGTCATCTCACTCGTAGAGCACAGAGTTTTAAATGGATTTGATTTGTATTTTTGGCATCTAACCCAGCCTGCAGATCACGAGGCCTCCCAGCGCTTATGCCTTCAGGCTAACTTGAAGCAGATACTCCCAGCAGTGCATGGTCCTCTTAGTCCACATTGTTGCAGCTCCACGTGCTTCACGCTGCCCACCATGCCAACCTTACCTGAAGACAAGGGACAAGCAAAAGAGGCACAGCACAACAGTTCTCCTACAGCCAAAGTAAGCTCTCTTACTTACAATGGTGTTTTTTGACACTTGCTGGAAACTTGAGGCTGAAACCTGTTTGTGTATATTTAGAAGTATATAAAAGGAAATCTGTTTGTTGCTCTCTATTAGGGCATTTTGCTTTAGTGATGAAGCTATGAGTGATTCTTCAGTTGACATTCTTAGAGTTCCTCTAATATTTTATGGGTTAAGGGATAAGAACTTAAATTGCTCAAGCAGTTGTTTATCAGTTTGATCTGTAGGCTTATAAATGGTTCAAAACGGACAGACATATATCAAAGCTGTCCAAAAATGTCCTTTCTGATGTTATTAAAGAAAACTTCAAACTTTGAGAACAGAATTTAGGCTTGTACTTCACAGTAGTCTTGGAACAATGAGTATTGCTTTTACAGAAATCACCTATGTGCAGTTCATGTATGTGTGAAAGATGGAAGTGGGCTTTTTTGGTTTGTAGTCTTTCTCGGTGCTTTATTTGCCACAGCAGTAGCTGAACAATCGCTGGAACTATACTGGGAGCAGGTGGGTGCTCCCCAGACATATTCATCAGTTTGCCTCAAATTTGTGTGGCATCTACATGTGTTTACATCTTTTYTTTCCAGATAAATATAAAAATATCAATAAGAGATGGGTGTTCCCCTTTTCAATAATCTGTACCACATATAAAAAATAACTTTATGTATTAAAAGCTGGAGTTATTTTTTTTTAATTGCTAGTTTAGTTGAAGTAAAGAACCTTACTGTGATTAAGAAATCACAGGTTATCCAAATCTTCATTTTTATGCAAACTGGTGTAACGAAAGAGATTTAACATCTAGCACATCCTTGGTTAAAGATGTAACACTGTCATTGGATTTGAGGATACTACATTCCACACTTTAGGTGARAACATCCTCTACTTTAACATTGTTGGAAAATATTGTCAGCAGTGAGCAGTACACTGGTTTGTCATGCTTTCCATCTAAATTGGACATGGTGCTGACTGTTCATTTTCTGCCTTATGGTAAGCAACCCTGGTTGGATACAAGATCGTCAAGACTACCAACAGATGACATATATTAACTCAAGATGATTTTGTTGGAGGTTTTTAACTCACTTATGTGAAAAGTATTTTAGTGCAAAAGAGTTGCTGTATAAAACACACCCAAAGAGGAAAAATAGGAACATCGATCAGACATCAGTGATTCTAATTCTGAAGGTGCTTGTCGAATGGGAGAAACGAAGATTTCCAACCACCTAATCTAAAAACAATATATATTTTTAATAAATTTTTTAGCCTTTTTAGAGGTAGGTCTTAAATGAAGTATGGTAATGTGATAGTTCATGATTCAATTAACTATGCAAAATGCTTCATTTTAGATATATGGTAATTTTTAGGCACAAAGTAGCAGTGGGGTGATTTTAACCAACACTGCTCATAAATCTACTTAAGGTTTACCACTAACCAATGTTGTGTAAATTTGATCTTGTTCATAGCTGTTGTCACCCTTGGCTCTTGCTGCAGACCAAATTCTACAGCATGACCATAAGTCACTCTTAGTAAAGCAGCTCATTATTGTGAGATAAGGACTTGAAAGCAAGGAGAGGACATCAGAAGGAGCTGACAACTGGTGGATTTGTTTTCTGCCATTCAGCAAAATTTTCCAACTCTGGAATCTCATCTCATCTAAAATGCTGTCTGGTGTCTAACAATTTCGTCATTCTGTTTCAGGAGATTCTTCCCCACCTTCTCCCTGCATGCCCAAATGCACACAGATTGCAAAACAATACTGACAAAAAGAAAATGAACTTTATATCACATATAGGTTTCTGCATGCTTCAAGTACCTTTTCCATGATGGGAAGACTTGAGTTCTGTGTCTCAAATTAATTTTGATAGAACAAATGTGGGTTTCCATTTTGGTACTTCTTAGAGCAGCCTGTGTTTTTCTGAAGTTCTGTCCAGATTTTAATTAATATCTAAGAACATGGCGAGGTGGCAGAGGGTTTTCTTTCCCCTTTTTAAATTATTTTCCCCCAGAGCTTTAAAGAATTCAGGTGTTACGCAGTAAAGCTCTGTCATCTGACTGTCTGGCATGGAAGGTCTTTCAGCAGACTATTTATAAATTTCCCCCCCACTTATTGTAAAAATCCATCCAAATTTGGCTGGATTATAAAAGTTTCAAAAGCACATTCTCTGCTTAGTGAGGGCCTGGTAGAATTTAACAGCCAGAATGTCTGCAGGTTCTATCTCCACCCTGAGCATCCCTGGTCCTCTTGGCTATTCTGTTATGGAATGAACTGCCTGTGCCACCCTCTCAGCCCTACAAGTCTAGATGAGTCCTGGTTACCTTTGTGGAGCAGTTCCCATCTGACCATCCAGGTGGAGTCAGTTTTCCCTTCATTTTTTGGGGGAAAGGTTTGGGATGAAAAGGAAGCAAAGACTTGGGTAGCAGGGAACCACCAGTAGTAGGAGACAAGGCAGCTCTTGGGAAGAGCTGAGGAGCAGACAGCTCTGGAAGCTAACAAGGGAGTACAGTTAAAGCACACAGGGGGAGGGTGATGGAAATCTTCTGTGTCATCTTTGTGCAGTTGTACGACTATGAGGCAGCTTAAGCTTCCTGTTAAAGCTTCTCTTCCAAGACCTGTGTGGAGCAGCCTGAGCACTCCTCAGAGTACAACAATTGCTTTTGATTGGAGCCAGCTGGCCCTGCAAAGAGCTTCCTGCTCTGGCTCTTCCTGCCCCTCTCCTGGACAGTGTAGGTTTGGACAACAGGGGCCATGAGGTTTCACTTGTGTAGATGCTGAACTCCTATAGCTTCTGACCGGGATTAAGGTTTTCTACCTGACCTGAATTAGCCTTGGCTGCAGCCTCTTTTTTTTCTTCTTTTTAATGAGCTGTTTTTAGACTCCTAAAATGGGCTTGAGTGACTTCAAGGCTGATGGTACATCATTCAAAAGTTTTTGCTTTTTGGCAGTCATGAGATTAGTATAAACATTGTGCATGTGTATTCAGCTGATTTGCCTTACAAGCAGGGCAAAACCTGAAGTTTTGTCATTGACTAAATATAGTTACTTTTCAACGTTTTCAAGTATTATTAAAAATTGTTTTCAAGCTATTGTCATAAAATGTCACTTGTGCACTTGAATCACATATGCCTTGGATTCTAACAATTTCAGAATGGTGAGGATATTCTTAAATTTAAGTCATTGCAGTGTTTTATTGGCATGTTCCCCATCCTGCTCTCCTGTGACTGACAAGGTGAACTTGCCAAGGAACTTTATATGAGAATGATGAGTATAAATGTGTGGATCTGCATGAAAAAATTTTATTTTATTAAAAAAAATAGGCTGTTTACAGTAGAATCAAGAATCCTAAATCAGGGATCCAAATCAAGTCATACTTCATTATTTTCCACATAGAGAGTCAATTTTCAGTGGTTTGAATTTCTGTTTAACTGTATTTTTTAATTTGTCATAAACCATTCAGGACACAACTGTTGAAGGGACAACATGCAACACACCTTCTATTGTTCTTCCAGAGAATTCTGTGACGCCAGATGTAGAAATTGATAAATATCTGGTTAACAGGTACTATATAATGCATTACCAATCCATCCCTAAATTGGAAGTGCTATGTTTCTAAAACATTGCTCTCAAATGTATATTGTATAAAAATATTTTTGCTGTACCTCTTGTGATTTGGTCATATTGTCTTTGCATTTTGAGGATGGTGTTTGGGATGCAGGTTGGGGGAACAGGAATATAATTGAGACGAAAAGAGTGGATTTACATTTAATACTGAACCTGACAACCCAACTCATTGAGTTGGACAGCTTTTGTCTAGTTTGAATACTGTAATACAATGAGTTTTGAAGCAGTTTTGTGCTTGTTCACATAGATGGGACAAGAATACCCCCTTGAGGATAAGAGAATGTGAAAGTAAATCATTGAATAGAAATAGTAATCCTGTCTGGAGTTGACACTTGCAATTCAGTTTTGAGTTGAATTAAGGTTATTATATTTATTCTGATAAAGGATGCTTCCTGACCTGCTTTTTAATTTTATTGACCTGCCACTAAACTTAAAATATGGGAAAAAACATACCAGAAARTATATATCATAAATCTATAATTTGCTTATATTTTTAATAGTGTACTTCTCCAAACTTCAAGATTATAAGATTAGTTTTGAGTCAGAATTTTGGTGCATCCCTTTAAAAGCAGAATTATTTGCAGGGTGAGCATTTGCATTTCTGCAGTTGTTTGAGACTTGTAGCTTGTTTGCAATATAGAAAAGTACCATGCGAGTGTCAGTGTGGGAGCCTGAGGAATTATTTCAGCCTTAAAATTTAGTTTAAGAACCAGTAACAATCTACAAAGACTAAATATTTTTTTTTTTTGCTCTATACCATTCTTATGTGATTTTTAAGTCATGCTAATAATCTAAAGAAATGTAGGTTATTTCTGTGAAATCGGGTTCACAGTAGGTGAGATTATTAATGGATTTTAGAATTCCTTTGTAAGATTAATTTCTGCAATTTTTCTTCTTTCTGCAATCTCCTTCATTTTCCAGTTGTTTATAGATCAGAGGAACTGCAATAAATGCTTATTTTGTCTTCCTTTTTAAGTCAAAGAAGTGCTTTTCTTTTCTCATATTAATTTTTTATAGACAATTGGAACCCTTTTTGATGGCATACTCCACAATTTTTGCTTGTTCATTTTCTCTCTAGGCCTCGTAGTCCTCATAGGAGACATTCTAACTGTGCCACCAGGAATTCAACAAGTTCACTGACTTCTGTTGGTAAGAAGTGGTTATTCAATTCAAGAAGGATGTTTTCTAAATATAGAGTCTGACTGTATTAGCAACAGTTTTTCCCTGTGCATTCCATGTAATGCTGCTGGAATGTTGAATTGTGATCATAAGTTTGTAGGTAAAGTGCATGCAGACCAGTTCAGGAAAATACACACATTGTTACTTTTAGCAAGTTGATAAGTGATGCATTAGCTTAACGTTTTTATAAGGTTGACAATACACACGCTTCAAATTTCTTGTTGAATATGAAATACTGTTCAGTAGTACTGGCTTTGTTAAATTTGAACTTAACTGCCCAAGGAAAGTAGAAATTACCATACCTTGCAAATATCTTTTGCTGGCACAGGGCAAGTGTCATGGAACGACTATCTCTCAAACTTCCAACTCACAAATCTTAGTTTCAACCAAAACGCATGTTTCACTGAAAATAGATTACTTTAGAATATTCAGTCTGTGAGAATGGTTTTTGACATCTGTGAAATTGAACTAAATTTAAGGGAATTAAAGTCAAAGCATTTCTTCTTCCGCCCCAAAAAATAAATCGAAAACCAACAGAGAAGCAATCCAACGCCTACCAGCCAGAAACCCTTGAGTTTTTGCTGCTTACTTATGTCCTTGACTTTTCTGAAGACTGATGGGTCTGTAATGGCTCTTTCAAATTTTAAAGTATTTTTCTTGTATTACCTGATGGTTTTCCTCCTCCTCATCCAAGCTGTTCTTTAGATGCTTATAAAAGCCATTTTTACTGACTTACACAGAAAGGGCTTTCTGACAGCTGACTGCCGTCTTTGCTTCATTATAGGCTGGAGTACTGTAAAATTGGTGCTCAAAGTTTAGTGTTTTCAACCAATTTGAAATCCACAGATTAATGAAGTATTAAATTAATTTTTAAAACTAGTGTGCATAAATCTTCCCTGGGTGAGCTTGTGGGTTTTTAGCCTTGATAAACTGAACATGAAAATTCCATTAAAAATTCGGTCTACAACAGAAATGCCACAGCTGTTAGTTGAGATGGATCTAATGGCACTTTTATTTAGACATTAGAAAAACACTGTTGGAGACACAGCTGGAAATGCCAGTTTCACATATTCAGAGCATTTTTGTTCACAGTGACTTAATTGTAGAGGGTTATCTGTGTTTTTGAGGACTTGCTCTAAACTTGAGATTATAACAGCATTAGAAATGAGCAGATATTAATTTTTGTTAAATAAAAGCTCAAAGCTAAATTTATGTTTGTTGTGTGTTTGTTACTCTGACATGCCACAATGTACCTGGAAATCAGAGGTACAGCTCTAATTCTGACATTTTCTACACAGACAACAGCGGTCATGTGATTGATCTGGTAAATGATCCACTCCCAGATGTCAAAATATCAGAGGAAGATAAAAAGAAGAACCTTGAATTGTTAGAAGAAGCAAAGAAAGTGAGTGAGAGGTTCCTAACACGCAGGGGCAGAAAGTCAAGAAGCAGCCTCCCAGAGTCACCCACAGGTAGGTGCAGATCCTGAAAACCAGATCTTATATTCTCTTTCAAACATCTGTAGATGCAAACATCTACTGTTATCTATGCATTGTTTCTGTGTACATGCACTTGGTTAATTTGAAGGTCAGAATCCCTCTTGTCCTCCTCATAGTTCCACATAAAACAGAAATGACCTATCCATGTAGTCAGATGTGTCAGGATAAAAAGGTGTCAAATTTTTAAGTGCCTGAATGTCACGCTACAAACAGTGTAACAAGAAAGCGTGAATTTCTACTGAAACTTGAAAAATGGTCACAAATTATTGATAAATTAAATTTTAGTGTCAAGATTCATACTGCTGAAAAAGCATTCCCTCCAGACACTGTAGCACTGACTCATATTCTGAACATAGCCATAACTTAGGCTAAATGGACTAGATCCTCTCATAAAGAGGATATAAATRTTTTGCATTTGCAGCAGAATAAAATGTTTTGTTCTAGAATGTCAATTAAAATTACTTCTCCCCTTGTATGAAGTGTTTGAATACTGGAACAAAATGCCATTTTACCATGAAATAGGACTTTCATTTTGCTTCGAAATGCCAGTTCAAACAAATTTCTGTCTTAAAATTGGGCTGACACTATCTGGAGGGAAAAACCCCCCACAACTATACATCACCTCTTTTTTTCCCTAAATCCCTCCTGAATCTTCTCTTCTGCTTCATCTCCTCAGTGCTTACAGTATCAGAAAACTGAGGAGAACAAGGATTCTGTTTCAATAGAAATTTATCCTTTTTGACAAGTATAAGACATGAAACATACTCTAAACTCTTAATTGCCAAGTGCCCCCTGGCAATTAAAATGGCTTGTCAGGCTCTGGACAAAAGCATGACTGATGACTATGATATTCATGAAATATCTGAATTCCGAAAACAGAGTAGGTACAAGCCTAGAAAGTAAAATTACCTTTTTGTTTTTGTCTTTGTTCTAATGAAGCAGTTTCCCCTACTCTTAGTCCTAAAGTTTCACCTGTAGCATCTCGAGCAACTCTCTCTCACTCTTCCATCAGGTAAAAAGATCAAAGAATCATTAAAGGTGTAAAAGACCTCTAAGATCATCAAATACAACCATTTGCAGGCTCAAACTTTAACTTATAAAAGCTTACCAGAAATGTATTTGTTTAGTATTTCTTGAGAAGAGTAGATTTGAGCATCCGCTCCTGAATATGATAAAGTCTATGAATGCATACAAAATAAATTTTTGCATATACTTTTTCTTTTTATTATACTTTTTATTCCTGTAGTGTTTCAAGGTCACATGTTCTATTTTAAAAATTTTATCAATAACAGAGTTTTGAGAAGCTTTGATGGTGCTTCACTTACTGTATGTTTGGTGGTTTTTTTTTTCCTTTTTTATAGTATTTTTTACATTTGAATTTTTGTCCTCAATGTATTTTGGGGAACTGTGCATATATGTGTTTGCTACTGCTATAGTAGTAAAAATTTTGAGCAAAATACCGAGATATGCCCTAATTATGTGTGTATCTTTCAGGGTCTGATGCATGCACAACCACTAGTATTGAATCAGTATCTCCAGGGCAGGTAAGAGCTGAATAGTCTGTGCAATAACCTGGTTATTACTATACTATATTATGATATGCTGCCTTTTTAGTCTCCAATAAAAACTGTATGTTTGGAATACCATTTTATATACCAAACTTGGATTACTGGTATTTTCTCTGTACACTAAGGGACTAATAAATGTTTACTCTGAAGACAAAAATCCATGAGGTAACAAGTGTTGAAAAATCATAAACATCTGTTAAGTGTAGAAAACAGAAAGAGATCCAATATAACCCTAATCTCTGCCAAAAACTAATCCCTAAAGTTATTTCATAAATAAATGTGACAAGCAATGTAAAAATTAAGAGATTCAAAATTCAGCCATTAATATCTGTATCTAACATTTTTAGCATAGATGTGAAAAATAACCTTGTAAGGTAATTTTTTCTTCCTTTTATTTATTTTTTTTTTCTGCTAGAATAACAGAACTGTGAAAGAGGATGACAGGCAAACTGCAGAGGTAAGTGTTTCACATTGAGAGTTGAACAAAGTCTGCTGGTTTATCTAAGCACACGTATTATTTACTGATGTGACTTAAAATGCTGCATGAAAAGAAAATTATACTTCTCTAAGAAACTGTGAAGCACCTTCAAGTGTAGTAAAGGACCATGGGCTTGCAGCTGTCTTTGCTTCATATCGTGTACCCTGCTCTAGCTCAGTTAAAATCAGTGTACTAAATAACTTTATAAGCAAAGTAAAAATACCTACTACAGCCATTTTTGGTGAATGGCACTGTTTTAGTCCTTCCATTACATTAAGATGATGAGGAACTTGCCTTTAGGAAGATTGCTGTAATGGACTCTGGAATTGGAGAGGTTAACTCAAAAGTTCGGAGAGGAGATTGCTAATTCAGTATTCTCTAAGTGCCTTTTAAAAATTGCTTCTTTTGTCCGCAGCACATATTCAAAAGCAAATGTCACTGAAAAGGAAGTGGCTTTTTACAGTGAAAATATGTCCTTGGGCAGGCGGAAAGAGTAATCTGGATTTGTTTCTCTGTTTTATGCATGTTCCTGTACTTTCAGAATGCTTCAAAAGGATTAATTGATAGAAGGCAGAATGATCAAAGAAAGATTTCTCAGGGAAGGTTGGTTCCTCGTTCTGCTGTTTTTGAAATCTCCAAAGAGAAGCTCTCAGACCAAAAAGAAAACTTTGATCCACGTAAGCATATGGATACTTTACCTAAATGCTCCCCTTCATCTGGTGATGGTGGCAGAATGTCTCTTAACACTTGCGTGAATGTTTGTGAAAATGAACTTGGAAAATCATTTCTCAAGAAAGGGAAAGAGAATGATGTTCCTTTAAGGTCCCATCTACCAGGACCAGGAATAGGAAATGTGGACTCAAAGCTAAAAGTTCCTGTTGCAGAAATGAGGGACCATAAAGTTCCGTGTAAACCACAATTTAAACTGTGTGGGTTGCGTCCTCCCCTGTTACGGGCTGTGTCCTGGGATAGCTTGGAGCCTGGACACAAAGAGAAAACACCTTTGAAATTCGCATCTGAGGAAGAGAAAAGCTTTGTTGGTAATAAATCCAGCAACCAGCTAAAAACTTTCAAAGACCTCCAAATCCAAGTTCAACCAGTTCGAATGCAGAAGCTGACAAAGCTCAGAGAGGTAAGTCCTATCACCACTTGTATCCTGTTTTAAAAAGTCATTTTCATACCCTACTAAACTTCCAGCATTCTTAGCATTATTTTTATCACTTCGAGAAACATACAGTGATATCATGGGAAACAGTTTCAGCATAATCAATACAGAATTGTATCATGTTTTACCTTTGCAACTTTAGTAAATGATAAGCTGTAAGTAAATTCCATGCAATTATTGTAGTACTTAGCTGTCTTCAAACATGCATCATGTGCCCTGTGGTATCTTCAATGTGTAAAGATGTGTGTGCATGTGATGCTGCATGTTTGCATTTGCAAGATCTCAGAGGACAGGAAATGGGTTTGTAATGATTAATTGGTTATTGAACCTTCTCAGAAAAAGTCTCAGAGGGTCCAGAGCTGTAATAAAAGTGGGCATCTCTGAAACAAGGGCAGGTAGAGTATGCCCAGACTTACAGTTCCTAATTTCTAACGTGCTGCAAATTTGTCAACTTCTAAAAGAATAGACTTGGTCTGCAATATCTATTAACTAATCTCTTGTTAAATAATACTCTAAATGATTAGTAAAAATTAAGGATTAAACCCTACGAAAAGAAAAAAGCAGAAATGTAATGAAATATCAAGCAGCAAAAGAAAGCAATGAACATGTCTCTGTTGCTAACAATGACTTCTGAAGGAAGAAAAAAGAAGCAGCAGGTGCTTTCTTGAGCAGCCTAATAAGGATATTTTCCTTGACCCCTGTTAGTTAATATTTTAATATTAATACAGGGCTGACAGGTGAGAGCCTCAAATTCTGCCCTTTAGTTAATTCATTCCCATGGTATTGTTTGGGAATGGCAGTTTAGTTATTCATCTTTTCCTGTTTATATAACACACGTATTCTTAACATGTTTGTACTGGAAGTTTTGATTATGGAGACACTTGAGCTGTATAATTTGAGAAGAAATTCTTTACTGTGAGGGTGGTGAGGCAATGGAACAAGTTGCCCACAGGGGCTGTGGATGCCCCATCCCTGGCAGTGTTCAAGGCCTGTTTGGATGGGGCATTGAGCAGCCTTGTCTAGTAGAGGTGTCCCTGCCCATGGCAGGGCAGTTGTAATCAGATGATCTATAAGGTCCCTTTCCACCCAGGATATTCTATAATTTTTTTAATCTGTAATTTTGAATCACCTAGAATCTTTTAAGCACATAAGATTATAAATTAATCTATAAGATTAGAGAAGAAAACGAGGAGATGATAAAAGGAGAAATAAGACAACGAATTTTAATACTTGAGAGTGCATTTTTCCCTTCATGTAAGGAATAGAGGCAGAATATAGTGACAGTGAAGCATTACCTTGCAGCTGTAAAATTCCACGTTCTGGTCTTAATAAAGTCCATGTCAAAGTTTCATTTGATTTTCTGAATTTTATCTGTTTTCTAGGATACTTAGTTATTACTGTGGCTATAATCAAAATTTCTGGTTTTATTCTCAGTCATTAAAGCACTCACCAAAACTCTGCTTATTTACTTGAATAAGAGACACATTTTGTAAATCTGTTTTCATGACAAAGAATTTTTCTAAATAATGCTTGTATGAAATTTGAGATACGTAGTGTGTGTGAATGCGCATGTATCCATGCTGTGGAGCATCTGACTATAAATTAATGTAAACATCACTATTATGTTTATTAACTAAAGGAAATATTATACTTAATGTTCACATGGCAGGGACATTTAAATTGCAATTTGTCATTCAGCTACTTAGAAATGTTGCTGTTTTTCTTCACAGGAGCATATTTTGATGAGAAATCAAAATTTAGTTGGACTAAAACTTCCTGAACTTAGCGAAGCAGTGGAACAGGAAAAAGGTACACTATCATAACACCTGGACAGACTGGTTTTTATAACTGACTGTTACGGGGTGGAAGGAAATGTCTTTTTCTTCAAGTGCAGTAGTAATTGAAGCAATTATGGAGAACAGAAATAAGAAATAAATAAGAGAGACCAACAATGGAAAGTACCTAATTTTCTTGATGATTGAACCATGAGGACCCTGTGTAGGTATTATTGTGACCAAGGGAAAAGTTGCATACATAGAACAGAGTCTGGCTTGTACCCAATTACTTGAGACCTGAAGTTTCAGTGAATGTCTGTAAAAACATTTCAGCAGTGGTGGATCGAATGGATGTAACCTTTGATATTGTGGTCCTGAGGGTGAATTTGATCCTTGGTAGTAAAAATAAGAGGTGGAATGCTTTATTCCTTCTTTTTTGTTTTAGTGTATGTGGCTCGTATTGAGATAACATTTTCACTTCTGGTCCACATCAATATGAATGAGAAGAAGTAAGGCCAGAGAAAAGTCATAAATGTGYTTGAAGGGCTGGAAAAATGTGCCTCACAATGAGTGGGATTTTTCAAGCTCAGTTTCTGTCATTTTTAAGGAAAAATAAGGGAATTTTTTTTTTTTTTTTTTAAGGAAAAAGCCTTAAGCTCTGCATAAATAAGAAAAAAGAAATCTGGCACCAATTGTCTTTTTTCCAATCTAACCCAATGAAAAAAGTCTAGCTGAATCTCTAAAATGATTCAGAATAAAAATAAAGAGCAAAGATACAAASCTGAGGACAATTCATCAAGTGGAACAATTAAGTAGCAGTAGTGGTTAGCTAAAATATTTAAAACAAATATATCAACCTGAAATATTGAAATCAAAACTATATATTTGTTTGGAAGTAGCTAAGACTGAACTTGTACAGTGTGATATTAACAGAAATGGAGATGGTTATCATGAAAGGAGCTGAAACTGATCGTCCAAGATTAAATCCAAAGACAATTTCAATTTTTCTTAATACTGTTCATTTTGCTAATTCATACATTTGCTCTGGGACTAGCTCATTAGGCCTTAAAGTTCCTGTTACATGGAGAGGTGGTTGAGATACTACATTTCAGACTCATCTTCAGTCTGAATGAATCAAGGTTAAAAGAGACTTGTCTTCTATATTTAATTATTATAACTTTGCTTTCTTAGATATGACAATATTATTCCTGTCACTCTGGTAATGTAGAAGTTCACAGAAATGGTTTAGTGGATTGTGTTTGAAAGTCTAAAGGACATGCCATTTTACCAGCCTGTTACATCATTTTGGCAGGTTTGGAAGTCTTGAGGAAAACATTATGAAAAGCTAAGCATTCTTTTACCCAGCTTTTCGAGCAAGATCTCATGAGTATCATGAAGTTATATGGTCTGATAAGTTATCTAAATGGTAGCCAGAACATTAAGGGTCAACTCTTTGTCCTCAGTGGGGAAAACAAGCAAGGGGTCAAATTCTTAGTTAATTTGTTAGGGATACTTATTTCCTTACATTGTCATAAAAGTCACCTTTTCAACTGGAGTAGTAATTTTGTTTAAACAATAGGAAATTGCCAGATACTTCATTATTACTGTTATGAATCCAATATGCTGTCTCCATGATAGTTTCATCAATGACAAGTTACTGTTGCCATCTGAATAAACACAACTTTGTATCTACAGAGGTTTAGGTAAGTGGAATATATTAATATATTACATCTGGAGACACTGCGGTGTCAGGCTGCATTTTATGGGGACACACCTGACTGTTCTTAAGTAAATACTGGCATTTTTTAATATAAAGCAAATGCACAGAACTAAAATATTGCTAGAAAGACTCTCCCTTTCTGTTCTTTCATGTTTAAGTCTCCAGATTTACACATTGTTTACATGGCATGCTAAGCATCCTTCGGTTAAATATATCAACAGGAGAGCTGTACAAAGACTCCTTTCCAAGTCTGAGATTCAGACTGGGGAATCTACCTTTCCTACAGGAGAGTCCGTCATTACATTCTGACAAGATAAAAGGAGATAAGGGAACTATTATATGAAATTAAATAAAATCAAAATACAGAACCTAAGTAACATGAATTTAAAAAAAAAAAATAAGTTTTAGCCATATCTGGTCCTTATGAAAATGACAGAAGTAGAGAATGTAAGTATAACTTTTATGTCCTGTTTCAATGAACATACTGTGCAGACAAGTACATGATGTAATTTATAACCATCAATGGTTCCTCAAAATCTGTAATGTGGTACATTACACTAAACTTCATCTTGGCAGGTGGCATGTAAAGCCGTAGAAAATTACAGTATTCTATTACAAAACTTCAGCTAAAATATTCCATAAAGGAATGCATGACTTTCCAAATAACTTAATCTTTTTAAATCTGAAAATCTCTTTAGGCCCTTCACCTCTACCTTCCCCCACTGAAGAGGAAGAGACAAAGAACAGCTCTGATGTTATGCCCAGCATTCCTGATGTATTGCTGCGAAAACTGCGAGTGCACAAATCGATTCCAGGAAGGTAAAAGCTGATTAAAAGTAGAGAGACATCATCCGGGGGAAGGCACACCAGTGGTTTCCAGTCAACTTTTCTTTTGGAGTTCTATTCACAGGGAGATCAATTGTTGCATCTTAGAATGTGCAACACAGATTTTCTGAAAAATTTTGGGGACTGAGCCAAGTTCCAGTAAGTGGACAACTCTCAGAAGCAGTTAGTGATTTTTACCTAAAAAGTCTTAAACCTTAATTACACCTTAATCTACTACTAGTAGATTTTTAAACAGATGTTTCCATCCTGGTTTCCAGGATTGCTGCTGCTGATATGAACTCACGTTGAAAATACTGTTCTTTCTCTCCCCCACAAAAAAAAAAAAAAAAACCAGTCCAGGCGATGCTTTCCGGTGGTAGAATTTGGGTGCGTAAGAAATCTGCAATTTTTCCACATGTGACAATTTTTCAGGGAAATGGAACCTTTTTTGTAAATGTATTTCAAGGATCACTCATGAATTCACTGATTTGGGTTTTGCAAGACATTAAAACAATTCCATACTTATTTGGCAAAAACGAATTCCTCCATTCACCCACATGGTTATCTACCAAAATCAACAGAGCCTTCAGTCAGTTGAAGCAGCCAATAAGGGTTCTCTGTGCAGATGAAATAAATATTTAACATTTAGCATTGTGAAGGAATTGTTATGTGTATTATTTTATATAATTGATGCATGAGGTGACGAGGTTCTGAGAGATCATTGGTTGATTGTAATCAAGAATGAAAAGTAGTGGGAAACAAAAATCTCAAACATGTATTTTGTTGTTCTTTTCAATTAAATATTAAAATGGCTTTGTTTTTAGAGGCAAAACTCATCAACATGTGAGTTTTTTGCTTTTATTTCTAGTTCCCCACCACTCACTGAAAAAGAAGTCGAGGTAAGTATGTTATTATTTTAAACATATGTTCCAAATTTAAGTGGTTACTTTAAGTTCAAGGGTGGTTATTAGAATGAGATGGAGGGATTATTTATTTCCATAAAAATATTTCTCCTTTTAAAAACTCTGATAAACTCCATCAAAATAACAATTCTGTGAAATATGAGAGTATAAATTGTAAAAAGAGTCGGAATAAGCAAAATATATGTGTGTCTGTCATAATAAAAGACGCACTCACATTGGAAATAATTTCAATACACCTAAAGTAGTAAAAAATTGAGGTTAAATGAGACTAGAAACGAAATAATTAAAATAGTGTTTTTATTTGACAATAGTAGCTTTGGGGCAGTTTTTAATAAGATCTTGCTGCTTGTTCATGTAATTTTTACTTTCTCAGCCAATAATTTTACTTTCAAGCCAATAATTTTGTTTGCCGGGTGCTGTTTAGGTTGAAGGCTTTGTTTCTTCTATTTTTTTTTAATCACATACCAGTCAAGAAAAAGTTTGTTATTTACATAAATCTACTGGAACTGTTGGTGCCTTGTAATTTGCAAAGTATCAGTCCTAAGAAATAATGAGTCTGGTAAAGAAAGAAACTATTTTTAAAAGCAGGGTGCAAGAGAATAAAAATGTTAGCGCTTCATCTTTTTCTGGCTTCAGGGGTAGGTGTTTATCCCTTAGATAAAACAGTGCTGATGGTGAGCTTGTCCCTGGACTTCCTCTGCACAGACTATCTGTTTAAAAACCTTGGAGACCCTTGGAGGAAGTCAAGCTATGAAGCAGATAATTTGTGATTCTGGTGCTTCTGGTAGGCTGCTTCTTTCATTGTGTCTCTGCTCTATAGAGCTCCCAGAAAAACATCCAGGAAAAGAGGCAGCAAAGCATGTATTTGTATTTTAGTGAAGTAAATAGAAGTGATTTTGTTAAAGGAAACCCATTTTAAAAATATGTCCAATTTTCCGTTTCAGTACTTATTTAATCATCAAGTATTTCAACACATACCTCATTCATAAATTGTTTTTGAAAATTGTATTACTGTAAGACTTACTGGAAAATGCCTTTTTTTTTAAATCCAATCAGAATGTATTTGTCCAGCTCTCCTTGGCCTTTAGAAATGATAGTTACACGCTGGAATCGAGAATTCACCAGGCAGAGAGAGAGAGAAATCTTACTGAAGAGAATGCTGAGAAGGAACTGGAAAACTTTAAAGCATCCATTACGGTAAGAAAGCAGCCATTATGGAATTCTTTTCCTGAACTATAAAGTACATGAAAGTGCACACACATTGCAAATCTGTTTGGCTCTTGTAAATTCAGCCCCAAAACTTCATTTTTTGCTGCTTAAACTCCTTGCTGTGGGCTGCCTACTACTCTGAAAGGAGGGCATATGCTGCCAGAGTGGGCCAGCATTGCTGGAAATGCATAGAGGATGCTTCCCTGGTCCAAGTAGATTCCATAAGTAAATACTAGGAATTTGCTGTTCAATTTTTTTAAGAAGCCTTGAAATAAGAACATTTAGAACTGCAGTTTGAGCACTGACCCATGTCCTCCTGGGCAAGACCTTCTTTAGCAGTAAATTAGAGATGTCCAGATACGAGAGATACCAAAATGATCTGAAACCTGAGTCCTAWGATCTATGACTTTCAAGGCCTCTTAACTGAGATAAAAGAAGGCCCCATATGTGAAATGAAACAGCGAGGAATACTTAAAGAACAGATACAATCTCAGGTAAGAAAATAGGCAGTTAAATATTATTATCTTCACATATTTTAAACTGGAATTCCAAATCTCCTTTTTCAAATTAATTATTTCTGAAAAAACAAAAAATGTTTTGAGTACTTTGCTGCTCTTCCCTCTGTTCCCTGTGTTAAAGAGCAAGCTGAAACAGTCTATTAAATCTCAGGCTTTTCAGACTGAAATAAGTCTGTTAGATTTGCCATGTATTTCTGTTAATAATCCCTAATTAGGCACCAAGGACCATGGTGCCAGCATGGGACAAATGTGATTAGGAATTTTTTTCCTTTAAGCAGTTCACACACAGCGGTCTGGCTTTTACAAGCGTTTTTATGTAATTTATAACAAAGTGGAAATTGCCTTTGCCATGAAGGCTTTTGTTCTAGACAATGGAATAAACTAACCAGCAATTAAAAGCAGCGATGGCTCCTCTGTTATATTAGACCTAGATCTGTTCCAATCTCATTGGGAGGTTATCTTAATTTCTGTAGGACAGACACATGTTTTGTGGCTCAATGACAGTTTTACCAGTCTTTCTGGTTTTTTTAATCAGTCCTGTGACAATTGATGTGTTATTCAGAAAGTTAAAGAGAAGGCTGATCTACATGAATGTACAATTTGTTTGAGAAAATAGTCAGGTTACAGTTGACAAGAAAAAATCTCAAATCCTGTGCATGAGTTTTCTTTAAAAAAAAAAGCCCTTATGCCTTTTTTGTTCTTGCAGTCAAATTTTGGTTGCAATTTGTTATCAAGGTAGCTTTGCAATCCTTGAGACTATGATGTCTGACTTTTCAGGTAAGGAAAGTATCAAGGAACTGAAAGAGTACACATGACTTTTTTTGATGCCTTGTGCCCAGCAAATTAAAATCTCCTTTGTCCTTCAGCAATCATTTTTAGGTGCTAGTTGAAAAGAACTCAGCATCTGTGGAGTTCACAGGTAGTGAGGTATATTTCACTTTAAGTTTCAGAAGAGAAAATATTGCAAACGTGTTTCAGCACCATGCTCCGCCAGGGCAGCAGCACTCTGGGCTGTGTGTGGTGGCAGTGCTGGCACCTCTGAGACTAATCTCTCCATGTGGAGTTCTGCCTGGACATTGCTACCTCATTTTGGGCCTCTGGCCACTGCGTTTGAGCTAAAGACATGTTGATAACGCTGCTGTATTTTCTCTTCAGTCTTCAGCTCACCTGTGGCACCACTATGAGCACAGGGAAGCCTACCAGAAGCTCCTGGAGGACATCGCGGTGCTGCGGCGTTTGGCTGCCAGGCTGTCGAGCCGCGCCGAGATGGTTGGAGCTGTTCGCCAGGTGAGGAAATCCTGGTGTTTAACTGTGTCCTGGATCCACGTGTTCACTCTTTTCCAGCCAGGGCTAGAGGCTGCATTCACTCTCTGAGTTAAAGATTGCCCATTATGCTATTCAACATCTGTACAATAGGAGCATATGGATTATTAGAGCTACAGCTGCATCACAAGAAACTCATTTCAAGTCAGTGCAGCACAAATAAAAGGAAACTTTTCTGGGTCAAAACGCTCATCTAGTTCAGTCACCTGTCTTTGGGAATAGCTCAGGCATCTCTAGAGAGCATAAGGACAGAGTGAGTATAAGTAAGAGCGCAGCAATACCCTTCCAGATTCAAGACTGTTCCCTCTGCCCTCTGAAGTCACCAGATTGATGCCAATGACTAAGGCCTTTGAGGGTTTGAAAACAAATATGCTGTACCACGTAATTAATCAGACAGGCATATAGGCAAGGTATATGAATATATGACAAACTAAATTACGATTTTCTGTGAAATAGATAAGTGTGGATTTGTCTTCTAACTAGCTTGGGGATTTTCAGTCATGGGGGCACCAGTGTTTCCTTAAGAACAACTCTTCCAGATTTAGCTATTACAAGGAGTATACACATAGAGGCAAACGATTTACTGGAGATATGTAGAGGTTACCTGGATATTTCTTCTTTTCTTCCTTAGGAGAAGCGTATGTCAAAGGCAACGGAAGTAATGATGCAGTATGTGGAAAATCTGAAAAGAACATATGAAAAGGATCATGCTGAACTGATGGAGTTCAAGAAACTTGCCAATCAGAATTCTAGCAGAAGCTATGGTGGCTCTGGTAAAGAAAAATACAAATTTAAATGTTTGTCTTGCCTCCAGTTCAGAGATATGTTTGTGCTAGTAATGATTAAAGTATCATGAAACATGTTTATCAAGTTCTGATCTAGAAGAGTAGATTTTTAAAAGTTAAAGGAATAAGTTAAAATGTTTCATATAAGCCATACTTAATGCTATAGTACAGTAATTTGAAATCACTATCACTCACAAAATTCTGATGAGACCCAGTGACATTTTCACATGGCTTTTGCCTGCTCTCAGTAAAAGTGTAATGGTTTGATTTTTTGGTATTATATCAAATTTCTTCTGCAGGTGTAATTGAGAACAGAATTTTATACAAATACGTACATGGTCACTAGAGGCCTTGTATAAATATAGTGTATCTGAGTTTGAAATACAGGCAGGAGCCTATTCATATTATTTTTAGATGCTCATAGACTAAGACCGTTCTTTATCTTTGTTTCTGTGCAGAAGATGGAGTTCCTCGTTCCTCTAGATCCATGTCTCTCACTGTTGGAAAGGTATTTCTACAGTAGAAAGAAAATGAACATTTTATGTAGTGATATTTCTTCGTCTGTACATATATTGACATTTTTAGGCTGTGTTCAAAACAGTGTTGGTAAATTCTCAATATTGTCCATTCAATTTAGTGCATACTTTGAAATTTTGGATACTTGATTGAGTATGACCTTGTACAATAATGGCAATGCTTGATGTGAAAGTACAGTCGTTTATTTCTGCAAACCTTCCAAGTGTCGTTATGCATCTGCTTTAATCAAGAATAAAGGCCTTTGAAAAGACAATAAAAACGGAGAACATCTCTGTTGTGTGATTGAGACTCCTGGGTTTTCAGTATGGAGGGAAATGAGAGCATCCCTGTGCCACACCTCATCTCACACTAAGTATTTCTCTTAGCAGACAATACTAGAGGGATTTCTGTGGAAAACCTCAGCGTAACAGTCTCTGATCTTACTTTAGCTCCCAACACTCCTTTTCCCAAGGGAATGCTAACCTACATGTTTGCCGCACAAATTAACTCCCAGAATTGTTCTTCAGTCTGTTTTGTTGTAGAAAAATTAATTGTTGTTTTCCCCAGAATATGCCTCGGAGGAGAGTCAGTGTTGCTGTTGTTCCTAAATTTAACTCCTTGAACATTCCTGGTCAATCACCAACAGCTTCACCTATACCTTCAATGCCATCCCTGGTAAGTAAACTCCATTTTTTAAAGGTACAAGTTTTTGTCTAAACCCCTTTTGCACAGGGCCAAGCTACAGTTACTCATTTTGACTCCATCCTAGTGAACAGGAGGAGTCTAGGGATAGACAGACTTCATTCCTGTTGGGCAAGGAACAAAAGCCTTCACAGTCTCTTTAAATGATCCCTTTGGAAACAGCTGAATAGGGCAGGCTGCTGATTCAGAGACATTGGTTGTTGCTGAGGCAATTTTCCTTTTAAACTGAAGTAACAGTCAGGAGAGAAATCGTGATGATGGTCGTGCACTGTAGGAGGGAAATTTTAACTGGAAACCACAGAATGGAGTTGGATTGCTGCTCTTTACTGCCAGAAGTCTACTGAACAGAAATATATGTAATAAATGTATGTGGTATGAATTTAGAGGTTCTCTGATGATCTGGGATTGGTGGAGCCATCAGTGTCTGTGTTGAACTTTTATTTGTAAAACTTTAATAAATTAAATTACACTAATCTGGACCTAATAAATCCATACAAATGCTTTGGATAAAAAATTGCCAGACATAGTCACTGTTCAGAGATGAGCTAAGATGAGACATAACGTTTAAAGTTATGTAGTTTTCTTTTTAAAATGTAGGGTTATTTGAATGAAGATTTTGCTGAGTAGCTAAATCCATTTTACTTTTAAGAAAAGCATCTGATTGTGCATTTTATTTATTATGTACTCAGAGCCAATTGTTTCAGGAACCAGGTGTGTTTGTTTGCCACGGTTTATTTTGATTTATTTTTGGTTAAAATTTCCCATTGAAAACTCAGCTAATAAGTTAATGTTCCTAGGATAATAAGAGAGGAGCAATAGCATAATTTACCTGTTCAGGGATCAATACATGATGGACAAAGAAATTTCTGGGAAAAAATGAGCAGGGTAGAAGGGAATGTCAGAGAAAATCCTTGGTGTGCAAGTCCACCGCTTACTGCGGATAACGGGAGCAACGTGGAAGCACCATAGTAAGGATACTTCGCTCATGAGCGTAGGAAGGAAGCTGAAGCAGCACAATGCCTTTGTTGTTTTATTGAACGCTCATTTGAAATTAATGAATGAATTTATATTGTTCTTTCTTTATTTAATCATGAATGTTAACTATTTAATGAATACAACATTTATTGCTGTGTTTTACTTACAGTCTGAATCACCCAGTAATGGAAAAAGCAACCTAACATGTACTCCTGCTCTGCCAGCACTTCTAGAAAAGTGAGTTTTGTCTAGGTCATCTCATTGCCTATTTAATGCTAATACTAAATGATAACTTAAAAATCTTATTTTGAAATGCTGTGATATTACTTCTATTTGTTAGAATGCTTTAAACATGCAAATTAAAAGCGTTTGAATACATACATCACTACAGAATATTGAATTTCATGTATTTTAGATTAGGGTTGAGGCAGGACAAAATTTATCTGATGTCCTTGTTTTACCTTGTGGTTTACTAAGAATGTAAGTATGCAACAACTGGGAAAACAAAAACAGTGAACTGCAGCACTGGTTGCTGCTGTTCAAAAGAAGTCTGCAATATCTAGACCATCTTTTGAAACCGGACATAAATTCTGTGAGGAAAAATAAACAACAACCGAAAAAACCTTATCAATATTTCACACCTAAGAAAACAAATCATGTTACCGAGTAACAGAGAGGTAGAACTTGAAATTCAAGTTTGAGCATAAGTGTGTGTGCATGGGCCAGCTGGTCTGATAGCGTGGAATTACACAGTCCAACACATGCACTATTGCGTGTCTGAGAACTTCAAGCTTATAGTCATGGTTTGTTTCAAGTGAAAATAATGTCTATGTGAATATGATTTCTTGAGAGAAAATCCATGGCCCACAGATGAATAATTCACTCACATGGAATTATTCAGCCACCAATTTTAGTACCAGAAAAATAACGGCTGCAAAATGGGTGAGATTCCAAAACTTGAAATGGGATCCACTGTTGAGCTGATTAAACCTCAACTTTGATAGATCTGCTAAGTTATGTCTCAATCACTTAAACTCTCTGTCCCAGATCAAATAAATGGTAGGTGAGCACTGCAGGAGGAGAGCAATACAAAATGCCTTATCTTGAGGCTAAATTCTCAAAGATGCTTTTAGTTGAGAAAAGTTCTAGTGAGAAAAGTGAGGTATGTGTTTGTATTTTTGTTAACCTGTGTATGAGTTAAGCATGTGAAGGCAACAGAGGAGAATACCTAAAATGCAAATAAAAACGATATTTTTTAAAATTAGTATTTGATATTATTTCTATTATGTTCCTCTTGCATAACAGGTTACAATTTCAGAAATGATTTTTTGACAGTTGAGGGAAATGTTTTGAAGCATAGCAAATAAATGCCATAGATAAGCCAGGAAGCAAAGGCTCTTTTTTTTTTTTTTTTTAAGAAGAATAAAAATGCAAATTTTCTTACCTTAGAAACATAATGATTACCCTTCTTAAATCATCTGAAACTAGTATTTTTCCTAGTGTTTAAAGTGTTTAATACTTTTCTTTTGAAAGACATTTCTGTTGTCTGATATACATTAAAAAAGACAAATCGTGAGGCACAAAATTGCAGTATGCTCCAAATACAATATCTTTCAGTGATGTAATTTTCTCTTGGTCTGTTTTTTTTTGTTTTGGCAGTGGAAAGTCAAGTGGAGAGCCTGACTGTGAAACCTCAACTCCTGTGCTGACACAGAGTGGTTTGGAAGAGATCAGTCGTGAAACTAAAGCCAAGATAGAAGAGGAAGCATATAACAAGGGGTGGGAATACTTCTTGTGAACTACATCTGAAAATAAGTGCTACTAGATTAGGAACATAYGGTTTTAAATGTAATTGTAAATGCAGTAGTCACGCTGTTGGTGTCACAAAGTACTTTACACAGCATGTTTGGGAGAAATAAAAGCTTTGGGATCTGTTTCTGAATGTCAAGCAACGAAATTTGTATTATGTGAAGAGTGAGACAAAAATTTTGATCCCATCCTGGAGAATATAACATACCACCTATCCTCAGCATTGTCTAGAGGATGTTCAAAATCATTGAAAAATAATATAAAAAATATTTCTGGCTCCTTTACAACAGACACAAGTTGTTCTCTGCTGATGACTACAACCTCTTTTTCTTGTTCAAGATGATAAATTTGGTATCAGCTCTAATACAATCCTCTGTTAAGGAAGGGTGCCTTAGTCATGTCTTCAGCTAATTTTTAGTCTTGTTCAAGTGCTGTCACACTGCTCTTGTGTTTCATTACACGTAACAAAACCTAAAGCTAATTTGTCATTAAATAAGATCATGCTTATACAACAGGCTAGACTAAGAAATAAATGTTTCACGTGTTACAGCTATCAGGAAGGCTTGAAGAAAAGCAAAGAACTTCAGGAACTGAAGGAAGAAGATGAAGAGACACCCAAAGAAAGTCATGATGAACATGAAGAAAGTGAGAATGAAGACGAGGAAAAAAACCTGAAAAGCAGGTGAGACAGTGGTGTAGTATGTCCGTTGAAGAGGGGCCGCCTATTCTGTTTGTGGTACCCAACCGAATGTTTTATTCTCTCATCTTGTCATGTTTTCCTTCAGTCTAGGGAAGCATATGTGAAATAACAGTCTTTTCACAGAAATAAAGAGTATGTGACAATGTAATTGTGAAATGAAAAAGTTTTGATTTTGCTATTTTGTCTAAAGCTCTGTGTTGATGTCAGGATGCCGCATCTCAATGGGGTTTTGTTCTGATTTGAGGTAAAAAATGCTCCATAAAGATGCCGAAGTGTATCTCTCTGTGGATGTGCATTGTCTCATGAAGGCTGTAATTCCCGAATCTGATGCCACATTTGTGCCGTGTGTTGTTCCTGTCATTACAGCGACACGGTTGTTGCATCTGTCTGTACCCAGTGCTCTCTGTACCTTACAGAAGAATTGAATGCCAAAGCAAGTAGCATGTCCAATCCCACGTTAAGGCAGGGACCCTTCTGTGATCCTGAAGAATTCATTCCATAACCATTTTGGCTATAAACATCTGTTAAGTGAGCTACATTCAGRAAGCAGCCATCTCGTTTGTCATGACAGTCTTAGAAAGAAATGTTTAGCACATAATTGTAATGTTTCATTTAGTAGATCAAGGTATTCGACAGTGCAGAATTATACATGGTGTCAAGCTCTGAGATTTGTCAGCTGACAGATGGGAGAAATAGGAGGCAAATGTACAGTCTCCAGCTGTCTCACAGATATTAGTCACATAGAATAGTGTGAGTTGGAATACCTGAGTGTACAGTTCCTCATAGAAAAACTTGACAGTGTGATTCTTCTTTGACAAGGTGTTTGTTGGGAAAAAAAGATGGTGGTGCCACCTGTGACACCTTTCAAATTGAGAAGCTTAAGATAATAAATTTGCATATGATTAATATATAACAGATTTCTTTTTATTTTGCAGCAGACTTGAAGTCATCGTTAATTATTTATATATCCTGTACCCCAAACTGTGCAAACACTGGAATGTGGTGTGGCTTGTAGTGGCTGCAATAGTCATCTTTGCTGTGGTGTTGGGAATCTACCATTCCTACAACTCCTGCGATGAAAAGTCAGAGGCACCTGAAGGGAAGGCCAGCTGTTCTGCTGCCCATCAGTATTCCTGGTGGAACTCAGGATTCCGGCAGCGGCAACGCACAGAGTAGAGGAACAGGTCCCTGAGCAAGTTTGAGTAGTAGAGCACCGTCATTAAAGGTAGTGCTTAGTGATTCCCCATGGCTGTTACACGTGATCCCTTAGGCAAGTGAGTTACTCCACACCACCATGTTTGGGGTACATGGTGAGCATATCTTGCCAAGATGGCAGTCTGAGAAATAATCCCGTCTGTCCTGTTATTCTAAATAACTTGTACAAATACAGTATTGAAGCATGATAAGGTTGTGGCAGTAATCAGCAGCCAGCAGGACATTTGAAAGAATGATTTGCACAGGAGATTGACATTTTGAAGACCATCATAAAACCTATATTTGCACTTAGTGCTTTATTTTGCATGTCATAAATTTATTGTTGATTGTTGAAGTACTAATTGCATTTAAGTCCTATGTGTTTTAAGACTCTAATTCATTTCCTTATTCATGACTATTGGTTAGAAGTAGAAACTCTTCCATGGAAGAATATAATTATATTCTAAGACCAACTGCCTTGCTGCTAAAGTAATTTTATAAAGGTATTATCTATATGATTATTTAAATGGAAGGCTAAGTACATAAATATGTTTTATAATATACTTTAAGAATGGGACCACCACTTTTTTTTTATTTTTTTTATTTTTTTTTTTTTATTAAATACTCAACCTAAAATGGGGTCTAGGTGGCACAGTTGGTATCATCCAGTAAATCTGGGAACGTCTGTTATATAAAAATTTGCAAAAACGTATGTGTGCCACTAAGGAAAGTGGTTCCTGCCTTGAAGGGTTAATGTGCTGCCCAAGCCCAAAATACTGCAGTCTTGGACATGGAAAGCAATCTTCAGTTTTTTATTGAAAAAAATATAAAAATAAAACCAAAGCTCTTCAAACCTCTGTATAGAGGTGATCACACCAAATGTCCTCTGCCCGACTGCTGACAGTGGAAATGGGTGTTTGAGATCTGCAGCAGGAGCACAGTTCTGAGAACAGCCAGAGCCCAATCAGTGCCTCCATGAATTGGGACATGGGAGCAATGAGGGCTTAGGAGAGCTTACTGTGTGTTTTCAGTAGCTCATTTTCAGAATCTGATGCCAAGACTAAAACTGATCTGATCCATTTTCAAAGCTGAACTACCATGTCAGGATAGATTAATCTTTTGCCTATATTTTTTGCCAGTTCTGCCTCTTTGGGAGTTGTGAGTTCTTACACAAGAATGTGAAAGTCTGACATTTTCAGACAAGCAATCTGAAAATGGTGAAGCCTTTSTCTGTAAAAACCCAGCAGCTAGGGCTGAGACCGAAATGTGTGTCACTGGAGGTGCCATTTGTACCTGGTGACCGTCAGTTCTGAGTGAAGGTGAACGCTGTTTGTCTTTGCATAGCTACGGCCACAAGAGCAAATCCAGTGTGATGTTTGATTGCACTCCTGTCTTGCATTCTGCTGGCATTTTGTGACTGGGAAATGGGTCTGTTTTTCAGCTGAAGGATAACAGTGTTATGAAGTACTGGAATTTCAGTTCCGATGCAGTTAATATTGTTCTGTTTTCTTTTGGTGGAAACACTGAACCTCGACTATGAAAGAGATCAGGTTCTAACTCAGTCAGGAATTTAATTCATGAAGCTGACACTGGCAACAAGTATCCTGCTGGTGAAGGAGTGTGTAAGCAATGAGTAGGGTGTTATTTTTTTTATTTTAAGGTATATATATCTGAGGAATAGTGTGCTTAAGGAAGTTCAAAAAGGATAATGGGGAAGTGTCATTTGGTCTAAAATTGCAATTGGTAAAGAATGTAACAGAAGAAGGTTTCTTCTAAATTACTTGGAATCTGTTTGGTTTGGTTAGAATTTCTGACTGTGAAGAACTACTGTGATATTTCATGTACTTTCAGTATTTGGAGAAACTAGCCGGTTGCTTCTGGAATACTTCTTTACTAAAAACAGGTTAACTTAATATTCTTTACAAATAATATTGATAACTTAATAAGACCATAGAGATTGAAGGTAAATAGTTCTAAATATTCAGATTTCTCTGAATAAAATGTGCCAAAAATTATGTCACATAGTTATGTGATTGGGGAAAAGTTGGGCTGCACTGAAGAAAAATAATTAATAGTGCCTGCAATTGAATTAATTTGCTTTTATCTATATCTGCACTGTTGTGAGCCCAGCAACTTATTTTGAGTAAACATAGAAAGTTATTGATACCAACAGGACTCTCTAATTGCTTAATGTTAAGCAAGYGAAGAAGTCTTTTTGGTCAGTGGGTGAATGTGATCTCCATCCTTTCTTGAAATTCAGCACACTGGCTTTTTGTGGAATGAGTGCACAAGGGACAATTCCCACAAGTAGTTGTACTGATTTGAACTGAGCTACTTACATGTCTGAGGCAAGTATAATTTTACSACAAATGAACCAAAAGAGGCAAGAGATTTTACTGGGGGTGCAAAAAGGAAGATAAAGTTTATGAAAGAAAAAAAATTGTTCTTTTTATAACTAACTACTTTGAGAAAACTGTCCACTAAAAATAACAAACCACGATGACTGACAGCATAGTAAATAGCCATGCTTATRTTTTTCAGTTATGTAATTAAAACACCTTTTTCTAATAGGAAACTAGATTAAGCAGAAAACCTGTTCTAAATATAATTTTATTTGTTGGATATTAGTTTGCTTTATCTGGAAAAAAATCCAAACAACCTCTTCTGTGTTCAAAGATCACATCAGATAACAAGAAACAGTCTATTATTTATGCTATTAACACTGAAATAGTTTTCTTGAGGTGCAATATTTATTTTTCCGCTTTAACAAGACACATTTATCGTCTCTCCTGCACAGCACAAATTTTTCTATCAAAAGGAATTTCAAAAGGGCACTATTTTTGCGTATCATATTTAAATTTTTAATATTGTAAGATTTTGCACAAGTGTGCTGGTATTGTAATGTATGGTATCACATACGTGAGTTTTGAAATAAAATTATGGTTTCAAAGTCCTCAGTGTATTTTTACCTTAAAAGATTTTTGGTGCTCTGCATATTGATGGGTTTGTCTTTGTCCTGCCTGGTGTACATTGTTACGTGTTGCGAGGATCTTGCTCTTAGTCTTCCAGTTCTTCAGGAAAATGGTGCAGAAGAAGAGAGCTAACTGCTGTGTCAATGGAGAAAGTGTTTGTAAGCAGGGTCATCCCTTCCATGGTCCCAGAAACCAGCTGGGAGAGGAAGCTGGAATATCCTGGAGAGAGTTTAACTCCTGCTTCAGAGGGAGGCCACGTGTCACAGAGGAGGCCGAACATGGGAAGCCACGAAGGAAATCTGCAGCCAAAGGAGTTGGGGTGAAAGGCTAGGCGTCTTCATTTGCTTCGTGTCTTTGTCGACTTGGGATGGCTGGGAAGCCTGGGTCTCATGGGGAGCAGACTTGCCAGACCAGCATGTAGCAGTCAATGTTCAACATCTGAATCTCCAATGGTCTGTCATGGGACAAACTCTTGGACATCAACAACCTGGAAAGGAATTACTGTTTTCATGAAAACACCCTGATATTTCTATTTTCTATGTGAATTTTTTTTTTTTTTTTTTTTTAAACTTGTTTCCTCTACCTGTTTTCCAGGTTCCTTTTGAAATGATTGTAGAGAACAGTTAAGTGTGTTCTGTCTTATCAAAAGTTGTCTGTTTAGCAGCCCTCATCAGCATTTTTTTAAAATGCTCACCATAAAAGGCTGGKAATTTTTTATATAGGTTACAGTAAGTATTTAGGCTAAAGACAAAGTAATCATTCAGTATAGGTCTGCTTTTTTTTGCCTCACTAATTACGAAGAAGACACACCAGAAGGTTAAATACCTTTTGTACTGTTCCAGTCCAGATAAGTGATCTTCCACCGTTTTGGAACAGCTGAACTACAAAAAGGAAGAAGCAGTCCAAAAAACAAAGTTATTTCAGTCTCACTTCATCATTTTAAAATTCTTTTCTTGCACTCCTAATCTGTAAGGCTATGTGAAGGAGCTTTTTGTTTGGTGTTGAAAAGGTGTTTATCTAACTTTTAAAGCTAAAAATGTTAGTAAACATCAACTAAACATCAGGAGTTTGGCTAAAGGAACTCAACCACAGTGATGATAGTAGGTGCAAAGTGTTAAAACCTGCAAGGACATTGAGCATCCAATTTTAAAATGTCATGAACCTAGCTCTTCATTAGTTTTCACGGTAGGAAATACTCAAGGGACACATCTCCTGCAAWTTTCAAGTTGGCCCACTCGTTAGGGTTACCGTTCAGAGTTTAAATAAACTCTTTTATCATCTAACTACACCGAGGTGGTTCTTTCAGCTTAGATTTTTTTTCTCATGAAAGACACTTCATTTATTTGGAGTGGCTGTGTCACTGTGTTTAATTTTTCCACAGTCCCCTTGGAAGAAAGTAGGTAAACTTGCCGGTGTCTAGACTGTATTTAAATGTCTTTTGGTGTTGGTGCACATGTGGTCCCATCCGGTAACAAAAATTGCTTACCGAACCCAAGAAAGATCATCTGAACTGAGGATAGGTCAGGGTGTCAGTCGTGGCAAAAGTGCTGCACTGTGGGCTCTCTCGTCCCCTGGGTGCAGTCCCAAGGCCAGGCTGTTCCATCTCCTCTCCATGGGTCTCCTGCTGGACACAGCTCCCTTCCCAACATCCTGCCGCTGCAGCGTGGGGACCTCCCTCCTCCACAGCCTGCAGGTGTCTC